CCAAACCTCAGTGAGATGGAGCCTCTGTGGCTGCAGGACTCCTTTGGCCTCTTTCAAGGTTTCAATATATGAAGGTGGGAAGCTAAGAAGAATCTCTGAACCCAGCTACACAATGAGGAGATGCAGATGCTCTCCTCCATCTGGTTCTCAATTCATGAGCCAAGCTGAGCCATCTTCAAACTCCACCATCCATCTCCATCCACGTCCGGTCTCACCATCCCAAAAACCCTTCACACTTTATCCCGCTGAGATCCCACCAAGATCCCACCATCCCCAAACACCATGCTCCTCTCCCCCAGAACAATCCCATCTCCCAAAATTCCATTGTCTTGCATTTCAGTGGAGATTCACAACCACAAACCTCATCCACTTTCATCCTAGTGCACCGGGTGCATTGGGAATAGCTTCCCTCAGAACATGTGCTGTTACATAATACATGAGCTCTAATACATATTCATTATTTTCCCCTGTCCTGGTTTCAGTTAGGATAGAGTTAATTTTCCTCCTAGTAGCTAGTAGTGTGCTATGATTTGCATTAGGATGAGAAGAGTGCTGATAACATGCTGATGTTTTAATTGTTGCAGAGCAGTGCTTACACCAAGCCAAGGATGTTTCAGCTTCTCGCTCTGTCCTGCCAGAGAGCAGGCTAGGGATGCAGCAGGAGCTGGGAGGGGACAGACCCAGGACGGCTGACCCCAGCTGGCCAAAGGGGTATTCCATACCATCTGACGTCATGCTAAACAATATATAGGGGTGGCTAGCAGGGGCTGGAGGGGGAGCAGACTGCTCAGGGTTAGGCTGGACATTGGTCAGTGGGTGGTGAACATTGTGCATCATTTGTTTCATACACACTGTTAGTAGTAGTACTATTATTATTCTTGTTGTTGTTATTATTATTTTCCTGTCTTAATAAACTGCCTTTATCTCAATCCACAGGCTTTACTTCATGGTTCTCTCCGTGATCCCAGAGAACGAGGATGGAGAGTGACGGAACAGCTGTGTGGTGTTTAGCTGCCAGCTGGGTTAAACCACAACATCTCCGAAAAGGCGGACCTCTTCCAAATGCTCATTTCTATACTCCTCTCCCTATAGCTCCTCCACATTGTGTCTGTGCAATGTAGCCTGGTGGTCGTGGGCAGGGGTCTTTCAGGATGAAGGCAAAGAGGAAGAGGAGGTCAAACTTTTTACCTTTCTGGACTTTGACCTTCTGTTGGACAGTATTGAGGAGTTTTTTGCTTATCTTTCCCTTGCTTCCTGCCTACGAATTGTTCATCCTTCCCTAACAACTTGTTTGTCCTTCCCTCATCCGTTGCCCTTGAGCAATATCTTCCTTTTTACATCTGCTTCTCATTAGGTTCTCATCTCCATCCCTGACAATTAGGATAGTTTTTACTTTCTCATCTACATCCCCAATAATCAGGATATTTTACCATACATGTAGCTAAATGTTAATTCAGATCAGTTTTAGCATCTTCCACATCTCAGTGGCAGGCATGCAGAATTCCCCAGACACTTGTCCCCACTGCTCCAGGGCCAGAGCTCCTCCTAGATGATTATTGCAGCCAGGATGTAGGAAAAGGCTTGGGAAGTTGGGCGTAGCCCTGTGTTTCCTGCAGCATGGCTGGGTGCTGTGAGGGACCTCGCTCTTTTGTTGGGGTTCCCTTGGAGAAGAACACCTGGGGGGGCCATCTGCCCCCTGGGGACCTCTCTCTCCGATAAGGCTCCCCTGGGGCTGTGGCTGCCCCAGTCTCACCAGGCATGCCAGGAGACTTCTGACTTCCCTCATCACTCTGCTCCTCCTCCAGCTGGGCTCAGGTAGGATCCTGCAGGGATGCTGGGGGCTCTCCCCCTTTGGCTGAGAGACTTGCTGCTGTGGGGCAGGGGAGCGGCTGTGGGAAAGGGGGGACCCAAGCCCACAGCTTGCCCGCGCTGGGTTTCACTTTCACTTTTGTTATTTCACGCAATATGGCTGCTGCCTTGCCTGCCCTTTCGCTGTCTCCTTCACCCGCCCGAATGCTGCAGAGAGGGCTCCCACTCCCAGCACAACTCCTTCTCCTGCACGTCCTCCCTCTCCCTCTCCTGTTTCCCAGGTGGTTTCCCATGTCACCCAGGGGATGCAGCATGCACCAACTCATGCACAGCTCTCCCTTTGTCACTCACTGCCCCTAAAATTACGATGGCAAAGTCTGACCTCCTCTCCGTGCCCTTCTCCATTCCCCAGTGTGAGAAACATCTCAAATAATTTTCTTCAGACAGGATCTTGTCTGAAGCTATTTTATTCACAATAGCAATGGTCCTGCCAATCAGGAGCACATTTTAGTAAACAAATCCTAACCTTTTATTCCCCGTTACTCGACGCCTGATCACCTCCCCTGTTTCCTCATTGGCTAAGTACTACAGGTTCACAAGCTACATGACACTCCTCTATGCCATATATGTGCAATATTTCTTTATTTTTTTCAGCCATTTAATTTCTCCTTTCTTATGATTTGAGAACTTCTGATCTTTGCTTTCCTGTTCTCGCAATTCACATCCTGTTTTCCTCAAGCTTCTACCTTATTTTGGAACAGTGAGGCCTTCTACGGTCCACTTATCTCCTTAGCATTTCTCTTTATTCTGGCAACAAAATTACCTTGGAATAAAGAAAAATAATTCTCTACTGCAAAAACACAACATTGCTTCTCACACCAGCCCAGCTCAGAGTGGTGGGACCAGGACACCCTCTCACTGCCACCGTGGGGAAGGATGTCGTGCTGCCCTGCCACTTGTCCCCTCAACGCGATGCTCGCACCTTGGAGGTCAGGTGGATCCGGGACAATATCTCTGAGACAGTGCACCACTACCGCAATGGAGAGGACCTGTACGGGGAGCAGATGGGGGCATATGCTGGGAGGACAGAGTTGGTCAGAGATGGTCTCTCTGCTGGAATACTGCACTTGCGAATCACAGGGCTGAGACCCTCTGATGATGGCCAGTACACCTGCACTGTGGTAGATGGTCATGCTTATGACGAAGCCATTGTGGAGCTGGAGGTGTCAGGTTAGTGGCTGGGGTGATGCTGCCAGGGCAGACTTTTCATGCCCTTTGAATACTTGAGCTGTTTCACAGCATGGAGCATGCCCATGGATGTGGAGGTAATATTTGGGGAGAGAGCTCCCTGGATATTTTTGTCAGTTTTCACTGGTGTTCTTGAAGACAATAATCATAATATTGTGAGGGCACTGGGCACAGGCTGCTGAGCAGCACTTTCAGCTGTGTCAGCAATGGGACCAAACAGCACACAGGGAGAATCAAAGAGTCCTCTGAGCAGCAGGATGTCTGCTTTACTTTTGCTTTCTGTGCTGGGGGAGACTGGATATGTTGTCAGGAAGTATGGGGGCTTCTTGAACGAGCATGGCTTGGTGCAGAGATGCTGCCTGGAGGTGCTGGATCTCTGCACCTGTGTTTCTGCCCTTCTTTCTGTTTCTAGTACCAGCCAGGTAGGATTGGGTTGAGGGTGGGTGCACGGAGCACCTGAAACAAGAGCCGCTGGTGCTGTGGCTCTGCTAAGCTGTGTCTATCTTGGGAGCAGACGGGGGTCTTTGCCTTGGAAACTGAATCCCTACCCTAAGTCAAGCACCAGCCACACGCTCTTCCACCAGCCACAGGCACTGACCCCCACCTCTCCCTGGGGGGCTACTGAGGCCGGAGGCGTCCGGGTGCTGTGTGGATCGGCCGGCTGGTACCCGCTGCCGCAGCTGCTGTGGAGGGATGCTCGCGGGCAGCACCTGCCCTCGGTCTCCCAGACACATTCCCAGGACCAGGAGGGGCTCTTTGAAATCGAAGGCGCCGTCATCGTGACCGGGAGCGTGGAGGGGCCCTTGTCCTGCGTGGTCAGGAACAATCCACCTCCAGCAGGAGAGGAAATTTTCCCTGCACATTGCAGGTACAAATGGCACAGCCAGGGTGAGGTGTTCCTGGCCCCTGCACTTGTCCTGACCCAGGAGAAGTCTGGATCTTGCTCTTCCACCTGCGGGCATGAAAATACAGCCCTTTTCCTGGTGCCTTTTCTCAGCTCCCTTCTTCCACAATGCCCAGCCTTTCATAGTGGCTCTGGCTCTGGTCCTCGTGCTTTTGGCTGTGTCCATTGGCCTCGGTGTTTATCTCTTTCGAAAGCAAGGTAAGCTGGCAGCACAGGGATGGAGCGGAGGGAGGTGTTCTGCAGGGACCCCCCTGGGTCTGGAGCGGGGCTGAGCCCTGGCCCAGGGTGGTGCGCAGGAGGAGGAAGGGAATGTTCTCCTGGGGATGCCAAAGGCCTTAGGACCGTCTTGGGTGGGAGGCCAGGGAGCATGGCTGCAGCGTGGGTCTGGTGGCAAGGCGCAGCCCCCCTGCACATGTTCCCACCCAGCAACAAAGCTGCTCTGCTCACCACCTGTTCCTCCACATTTGCTTTTCAGCGGCACAGAGGCGAGAGCTGGGTGAGTCCTTGCACTCCCTGCCCCCAGCCCCTGGGGAAGTGGTGTCCCTGCGAGAGGGTCTGGGCCTGGTCTGGGTGGGCTCTGAGGGCTTGTGTGCTGGTGGCTCCGGGGGTGCTGGAGGAGCAGCTGGAGCCTGGGGTGGGAGTGAGGAGTGCTGGGGCTGGGGCTGCCCTGGGCACGGGACATGGCCGGGATGGCTGAAAGGAACGGGGATCAAGGTGGGGATGGGGAGTGAGCTGCGGGGCTGCCCCACTCTGTACTAATGCTTCTGGGACAGGGACGTCCTCCACCCATGTGCAATCACTTCCCTTTGTCTTTTGGTGGCACGGTGCAGAGAGCTGCACAAGTGTCTGTCCTTACTGCTCCACGTGCAAAAGCCTTGCTCAAAGCTGGTTCTGGCTGACTGTTAGTCATGTCTCTCACTAGTCTGGGTGGAAGTTGGTCATTTCCCACTTTAAACCCTTTGTGGTCTTCAAATGGGATCAGCCCTGAGATGAAAAGCTGTAACCTCTGATCACTCATGCTTCTGTTTTCCTTTTCCAGTGAACAGAGATGCAAAGCTGGGTAAGTCTCCTTCCCCAAAGAGAAAGCATTTGGTGTCTTCCCAGAGGAGTAGCCATGGGATAAGAAGCTGCCCCTATGAACATGAATTACTTTTCTCTTTCTTTTTCTTTTACAGAGGAACAACCTGCAGAGATCGGTGAGTGTCAATCCCCAAACCCAAAGAATTTGGGGTCCAGACATGGGATGATCATTTTTCCCTCTGATCATGGATTCCTTATGCTTTTCTTTCCCAGAGGAAAAAGATGCAAGACTGGGTGAGTCTCCCACCTAATCTGAAGGAATTGACGTCTTTTGCTTTGCAGCAGCCATTTGATGAGAATCTCTCCTTCCTCCTCATGCACTGCTTTCTCTTTCTTTTCCAGCGGAATTGGCTGCCAAAGTGGGTAAGTGTCCCTGAGCTTGGGCACGGTGCAGAAAGCTGCACAAGTGTCTGTCTTTACAGTTCCACCTATAAGACCATTAAACAAAGCTGGGCCACAATGACTATTTGCTTGGTCTCACCTCGGAGCAAGGCAGTATTTTGCCAGTCATGGGATGTGTTCATGATCTACCATGGGCTGAGCAACACTCCCCTCTGATCATGCATTACTTTCTTTCCTTTTCAGAGGAACAAGCTGCAGAGCTGGGTGAGTGTCCCCGTGCTTGGACCCCAGGGCAGCACCAAGGCAATGTGCAGGCGAGGGTGGGCAGCTGGGACAGAGCAGCCCAGGGCTGGCCCCTCACAGGGGAGCGGGGAGTGCTGGGGCTGGGGGTACCCTGGGCACGGGACACGGCCGGGATGGCTGAAAAGAACAGGGATCAAGGTGGGGAGTGAGCTGAGGGGCTGCCCCATTCTGCACTGACACTTCTGGGACAGGGATGTCCTCTACCCGTCCCCATTCACTTCCACTTGTGTTTTGGTGGCACGGTGCAGAGAGCTGCACAAGTGTCTGTCCTTAATGCTCCACGTGCACAAGCCTTGCTCAAAGCTGGGTCTTGCTCCCTGTTAGTCTGGTCCCTCCCAGTCCGAGAGCAAGACTGTCTATGCCCATTCACCATGTCAAAGAACTTTGGGGGTCTAGCCATGGAATTAGTCATGGAATTTGAAGCACTCCTCTCTGATCATGCATTGCTTTTGCTTTCCTTTTCCAGTGAGAAAAGATGCAAGTATGGGTAAGACTACCTTAATAAACCCAAAGAGTTGGCACCTTTCCATGGCAGCAGCCATGGGCTGAGGAGCTCCCCTCTCATTGTGCCTTGCTTTTCTCTTCCTTTTCCAGCGGACCAAGCTGCAGAGCTGAGTGAGTGTCACAGAGCTTGGGCTCTGACATCTCCAAGGCGAGGTTCAGAGAAGGGTGGGCAGCTGGGACAGAGCAGCCCAGGGCTGGCCCCTCACCCTGCTCACCCCCACCATTCTGCACCCACGTGCGAGCTGTGGGGCTGCCCCGCTCTGCACTGACACTTCTGGACAGGGACATCCTCCACCCATCCCCATTCACTTCCACTTGCGTTTTGGTGGCACGGTGTTGAGAGATGCACAAGTGTCTGTCCTTAATGCTCCATGTGCACAAGCCCTGCTCAAAGCTGGTTCTGGCTTACTGTTAGTCAGATCTCTCACAATCTGGGTGCAAGTTGGTCATTTCCCACACATGAGATGTATTCAAAGTCTAGCCATGGGCTGAGAAGCTCTTCCTTCTGGTCACATATTGATTTTCTTTTTTCTTTTCAGAGAAACAAGCTGCAGAGCTGGGTGAGTGTCCCCGTCCTTGAGCCCCAAGGCAACACCAAGGCGATGTGCAGGGGAGGGTGGGCAGCTGGGACAGAGCAGCCCAGGGCTGGCCCATCACACGGGGGTGAGGAGTGCTGGGGCTGGGGGTGCCCTGGGCACGGGACTATGGCCGGGATGGCTGAAAGGAACGGGGATCAAGGTGGGGACGGGGAGCGAGCTGCGGGGCTGCCCCACTCTGCACTGACACTTCTGGGACAGGGACGTCCTCTACCCATCCCCGTTCACTTCCACTTGCATTTTGGTGGCACGGTGCAGAGAGCTGCACAAGTGTCTGTCCTTAATGCTCCAAGTGCACAATCCTTGCTCTAAGCTGGGTCTTGCTCCCTGTTAGTCTGGTCCCTCACAGTCCGAGAGCAAGACTGTCTGCCCATTCACCAGGTCAAAGTACTTTGAGGTCTAGCCATGGAATAAGTCATGGAATTTGAAGCTCTCCTCTCTGATCATGCATTGCTTTTGCTTTTCCTTTCCAGTGAGAAAAGATGCAACTATGGGTAAGACTACCTTAATAAACCCAAAGACTTGGCACCTTTCCATGGCAGCAGCCATGGGCTGAGCAACTCCCCTCTCTCATCATGCCTTGCGTTTCTCTTCCTTTTCCAGCGGAACAAGCTGCAGAGCTGGGTGAGTGTCACAGAGCTCGGGCTGCATGACATCTCCAAGGCAATGTGCAGGGGAGGGTGGGCAGCTGGGACAGAGCAGCCCAGGGCTGGCCCCTCACCCTGCCCACACCCACTGGGCACCAGCCATGGGTTGTGACCAGCTCTCCCCTCTCCTTCCAGCATGGAGAAGGTGTCTGCTGCCTCATAACAGAGGTAGGTGTGCATTGGGTTGCCCTCTGAGGTGCTTCTCCTGCCCCTGCAGGGGCATGTTCAGGAGCCAAGAGGTGCCCCATGTCCTGCCCCGTGGGGCAGCTCCTGGCCCCGAACTGGGGAAAGCCTGCCCAGGGCTGAGCTCTGCCCCTGATGGCCTGGCTCCTTCTGTCCCTGCAGTGAAGGTGACCCTGGATCCAGACACGGCTCATCCCATGCTTGTTGTGTCTCAGGACAACAGCAGTGTGAGATGGGAAGACAAATCACCTCAGGTTCCTGACACACCAGAGAGATTTCAGGAGAGTTTATGTGTGCTGGGCTGTGAGGAGTTCAGAGAGGGGAGGTACTGCTGGTTGGTGGAGGTGGAGGGGGAGTCGCTAAAGTATTCTTGGTGGGCTGTGGGGGTGGCCAGGGCTTCTGTGGAGAGGAAGGGGAAGATCAACATGAGCCCTACAGCAGGGATCTGGGCTGTGGAGTACTATTATGAACATCTCAAGTCTCTCACATCTCCTCCCACTGACTTGCCCCTGTCCCCTGTCCCCACAAGGATCTGGGTCTGTCTGGACTGTACCCAGCAGCAGGTGTCTTTTATCAATGCTGACAATGGGGTCGAGATCTTCACTTTCACAGCAGTCTCCTTCAATGGGGAGAGCATCCGCCCCTGGTTCATGTTGCGGAAACGGGGAGTTCAGCTGTGCCTGAGGGACAGAACCCTGTAAACCCTGTTCCCAGCACTGGGGGACCTCCTGTCCTTCTCCAGCCACTCCTGCATCACCTCTCCTTGGTCCTGCAGGAGCAGCACAGGAATGAGGGGCATCGGGGCCAGGGGCTGCCCCATGTTCCTCCCTGCTGCTGGAGGAGGGCTGGGATGCTACAAGCAGGGGCCAGGCCCCTTGAAGCCCTGCGCTCTGTCCTGCACGCGGCTCCTGTGCTGGGGCACAAGCCTTCCTGTCACCCATGGGTCTCACCCTGCCTCTGAGCCCCAGCGGGCAGCACAGGGGCTGCAGCAGCTCTCCACGCTCCTCTCCCCTCTGCTTGCACTGCTTGCAGACCCGCAGGGCAAGGGATGTGGTCAGCATATGCTGACTGGCCATTGCAGACCACCTTTGCCTCGTAATTTGGGGTTGATCCTTGCTTTGGGCCTGGTGCTGAGCATGAGCAGCCTGTGGGGGCTCTTTGTTCCCTCCTCTGGAGCACATCAAGGTCCAGCAGCAGCAGGACTGTGGCAAATAAAGTTTTGTACAGTAAGATGGAGTCTGGCAGTGGCATTTCCTGGGTGCTTTGTGTCCTGAGGCTTTGCTGCCTGGGAAGGCATCTTGTAGGAGACCATTCTCCTTGGTGTTGGTCCTGGGAGTCAGAGCCAGGAGGAACCTAAACTCCAGGAGCTCCCATTTCTCCAGCTGGAGCCTGGGACCCCCTTGTCCCATCTGGGTCATTGTACTGCCCAGGGGGGCACCCAAAGGGCTTGCAGCCTCCCATCACACAGGCTCTGTAGAGGCTTTCCCCACACTGGGGCATCTCTTGGAAGTCCTTCAAGCAGAGGGAGAAGGTCTCCTCAGCCTAAAGCCCAAGATCACAGAATGACAGAATAGCCCGAGTTGGTAGGGACCCAACGGGACCATCGAGTCCATCTCGACACTCCACAAAGGCCAACCCCAAAATCAGACCCACTCTCACACAGCCTTCTGCAAACACTGCTTCAGCTGCAGCAGGCTCAGGGACATGGCTACGTCCCTTGGGAGCCTGTTCCAGCACCTGAGCACCCTCTCAGGAAATAAATAGTTTCTGAACAGCTGGCCTGAGCCTCCCCTGAAGCAGCTCCATGCCACCGCAAGGCCTCCCCTGATCTCCTCTGCTCTGGGCTCAACAAGCCAAGGGCCTTGAGCCGTCTCCTCACACGCCTTGCCCTGCAGAGCCTTCACCGTCCTCGTAGCCCACCTTGGAGGCTCTCGCACAGTTTCACGCCCTTCATCTGCTGCGGTGGTCACAGATGCACGCAGTGCTCGAGGCAAGGCCGCAGCAGGCCGAGCAGAGTGGGACGATCCCTTCCCTCGGCCGGCCAGCAGTGCCGTGCCTGAGGCACCCCAGGCCATGCTTGGTCCTTTGGGCTACCAGGGCCCGCTGCTGGCTCACATCCACCTAGCCATCGGCCACAAAGCCCCAGCTCCTGTTCTGGGGGCTGCTCTCCAGCCTCTCGCCCCCCACGCTGTCCGTACAGCCAGGGCTGCTCCTGCCCAGGGACACGGCCGGCACTTGCTCTTGTTAAACTTCCCACAGGCGGTGGCTGCCCAGCTCTCCCCTTTGGCCAGATCCCCCTGCAAGGTAACTTCACCTTCGACGGAGTTAGCAGCTCCTCTCAGTTTTGTGTCAGACACAAACTCACGCAGGTTTCCTTCCCATCCTACATCCAGCTAATTTATGGGGCCACTGATGAGACCTGGCCCCAAAATGGAGCCCTGCACAGCCCCACTCATGACTGGCCACCAGCCTGATATCGCCCCATTTACCAGAACCCTCAGAGCCTGACCCCTCAGCCAATTGTTCACCCATCGTATTGTGCATTTCTCTGGCTCTGTGATGGACGTTTGGTCCAGATGGATACGGTCAGAAACCATGTCATAATCTTTCCTGAAATCCAAAAGATCACTTCAACTGGCTCCCTCAGTCAAATGGGAGACTGACCTTATCCAAAAAAAAGGAAATGAGGTTTGTTGAACATGAGCTTCCCCCCATGAACCCATGTGTCCTATGACCAGTGACCGCATTGTCCCTTAGGTGTTTTTCACTCACTCCCAGAGCAATCTCTGTAACTTTACCAGGCACTACCATGAGACTGACAAGCCTGTAATTCCCAGGGTCTAATTTGCTGCCCTTTCCGGAAACCGGGGCAATGTTTGGCAGCTTCCAGTCACTGGGACCTCTCCAGATTCCTCAGTATACTTAAAATTAAATTATAGAGATTTCATGATGTAGTGGGTTTACGTGACAAGGTCTTGGTAGCAGGGGGCTGCAGGGTGGCCTCTCTGAAGGGAATCCAGAAGCTGCCCCATGTTAGATGAGGGCCCATTTCAGCTGGCTCCAGAGGGACACGTTGCTGCCCAGACCTGAGCCACAAAGCGATGTTATTTGTGCCTCTGTGAGGGCATAGCTAAGAAATGTGGAAAAAACTTCTGCACAACAGCAGCTGGGAGAGTGAGGAGTGAGAACCAGCGCTGCAGCCCCCAAGGTGAGTGCAGCAGAAGGGCAGGAGGTGCTCCAGGCACACAGCAGCAGTTCCCCTGCGGCCTGTGGAGAGGTCCCTGGTGGAGCAGGCACTGGGCCAGATCTGCAGCCCCTGGAGAGGAGCCCACGCAGGAGCACAGGGTCTGAGGGGAACTGCTGACTGTGGGGGAACCAGGTTGGAACAGTTTGCTCCTGACTGAAGGACCCTGTGGTATGGACCCATACTGGAGCAGGTATTGCAGGGCTGTGGGAAGCTCATGTAGGATCAGCTCATGAAGGATGGCATCCCATGGGAGGACTCTGTTGAGGTGGAAAGGCCTTGCAGAGAGATCTGGATAGACCGGAGATTTGGGCAATCATCAACTGCATAAAGTTTAACAAGAGCAAGTGCTGGGTCCTGCACCTGGGATGGGGCAACCCTGGCTATAGGGACAGACTGGGGGATGTGATGCTGGAGAGCAGCCCCACAGAGAGGGATATGGGGGTTGTGGTTGACAGCAAGATGAACATGAGCCAGCAGTGTGCCCTGGCAGCCAGGAGAGCCAACCGTATCCTGGGGTGCATCGAGCATGGAATTGCTAGTCAGATGAGGGAAGTGATTGTCCCGCTCTACTCTGCACTGGTGCAGCCTCACCTCAAGTACTGCGTGCAGTTCTGGCCACCACAGCACAAGAAGGATGTGAAAGTATTGGAGAGTGTCCAGAGAAGGGCCACAGAGATGGTGAAGGGTCTAGAGGGGAAGACGTATGCCTTCAGCCAGTTCTCTTAGTACTCTGGGATGAATCCCATCAGGCCCTATAGTCTCGTATGTATCCATCTGGAGCAGCAAAACCCACACAAATTCGGGGTTGTTGAGACTTTATCGTTCCTGCAGTCACTGTTCTCCAGCTCAGGACACCAGGGGTTCCACAGCCCAGCATCAGTCTTAAGGGCAAAGAAAGCATTAAACATCTCTGTTAAGTCGATGACCCTGTTGGACCATACCCATCAAGTAACAGACCAATGCTTTCTCTAATCCTACTTTCACTTTTAAGAGAGTTTAAATAAAAAAAAAAATAATAATAATAATAAAAAAAGCATTTTATTGCCCCTCACAGTACTGTCCAGCCTCAACTCAAATTGAGCTTTGGCCATATGTATTTTCACCCTACAAAGGCAAACAGTACCTCTGTACTCCTTCCATATTGACTGATCTCGCCTCCAGCAAACAGGAACTTTCCTCATCCACCTAAGTTCTAGAAGAAGGTCCCTGCCCATCTGAGCCAACCTTCTACCACAGATGCTTTACTGGAGCCGGGATCAGGGCTGGCACTTTGCCTTCAGCACCCTGGGCAAAGGTGGCAGCTCTGGGCTCAGCACCCTGCTGTGCCCCATTCCCTGCAGCCTCCGATCATGCTCAGCTCTTCACTGCCATCTCTACAAATTTTCCCATAGCTCACAGTTTGATTCCTTCTTGCATACATGGAAATGAACGAACATAGCCAGTGGCTTTTCCTGGAGGTCTGGAGAGGCCCCCAATGGGGTCAAGCACCTCGTGCTTGCTAAAGGCAGCGGACTGGGCACCCAGCTGCAATGGAATGGTGGTGCCAGCCCTGCAGAGCTCCCCAGACATTGCCCCAAGGGCAGAGCTGTTCCAGGAGGGTTATTGCAGCCAGGAACTGGGCAAAGGTAGGGAAAGTTGGGCGGAGCCTTGTACTTTCTGCAGCTCTGCTGGGTGCCGTGAGGGACATCTATCTTAGTGGGGCTCCCTTCAGGAAGAACCCCTGGGGTCCACCTGCCCC